GATCGCAGTCACTAACCTGTGTTTCTCTCCAATAGACATTCCTGCTTCAGAAGCTGCCACTGCAGAATCTCTCTCTCATTGTTTTGAATAAACACTTTTTTAGTAATACACTGTCCATCTTGCCTGAATTCTGTGTCCTACCTTCTGAGCCTTAAAGCAGTACTCAATTTTGGTCACATTACATTTAACAGCAGTAACTAAATGTCTCACTCCAGCCCTTTAGGAGTCTGTAATATGCTTCAAGTTGGTTAGCATCAACACAGGCAGGAAGAGAGAGTTTCAACTGGCAGGCAGATTTGTGCATGCAAGCAGAATTTATAACTTTTCTTTTTTTACACAAAGGTTACAGTAAGGTCCTGCAACAATGGAATATGGAAAAGCAAGATTTAATATTAAAAAAACTTAAACCCTGGAGTGAAACATCTGGATGCTTGTAGTTAGTTCATAGGAAAAAAATCTAATATTGGTTTTAAATAATAGCAAAACATTCAGCCTTACTCACTATACCTAAGAGACTCAAACAAGTTCTTGAAAATACTGGTGCTACATGAAAAAAGTGACAGATCAGGCACAAACTGGACATTTTTACATAAGGTTTTACTCTAGTGGTTTAGACTTTAATGGCTATGTTTGTCAAATTACTTCCATAGAACAGCAGATTTTACACCGTCATGCAAGCTGTACACAGACTACATTACATTGTAAGAGCCGATCATATCAGCATTGTCTTATAAAAAGATATCTCAATACATCTACACAATATCTGGAGTTCTTTTACATTTGTGAAATACTGCATATTTATATATAAATAATCAGTTTACCCTTGAGAGGAGATTAAAATGAAGGTTTTTTTGTTGAAGCGGCCGCTTATCTAGCCGATACCTGGAAATCCACTTAAAGGAAGTTGATGTTTCATAATTTGACAATATGACAGTCAAAGATAACCGTAGCTGTGGACATAGCAGGGTCATTTGACTTGTAGAATAAGGCAAACATACCACAGATATACAGTTATCACAATATCATTGTGTGAGACGTGTATGTATATCCTAAGGGCTGTTTGAAATGAATAGTGGTAGGCCAATATATTACTAACCTGCATTTAACATACTATTGTAATATTTAGCCACTTTGACAGCAGCACATGCTCTCAACAGATACAAATGACATGGCATAAAATGCTTAAGAGGTTACAGAGTAGAAGAAGCACAGATGGGCATAAGCACACACAAACAAAAAAAATAAATAACATTGTTTAGATGAGCCAATTTGTCATCATTTTGCAAGTGTAACAACAAACCTCAACAAAGCAGTGCACAATCAAGGGCACCACGACAATAGCCCTGTGATTTATGTGAGCCACAAAGTAAACTAGGCGTAACACCCTCTGGTTTATCCACGTCAACATTCAAATCCCATTGCAACATGTCGAAAACATTTGTTGAGCATTTTAAGAACCATCTTAGTTCCAACTGATCCGTGACAGGGAAGAGTGTGATAAAAGCACTATGGTTTGGATGTTCACACGTTCAAGCTTTCAGATCTCAACATGTGGTGCATTTTCTTCCAACTGACAAATTTACACTGATAATTATAAAAAGGTCACGTATTATAATACATAGATGGCATCTGTAAGATTTATTATAACTAATAAAAAAAATATTTCTGTGTAACCAGGAGGCGGTAGCAGCTGTAATATACCTTATCAAATATTGCATTCAAGCAATTATTTGCAAACCTAATATTGCTCACATTGGATCTGTGATGGTGATATGTTCCATATCCTCCAAACCTTAACTGGTTTGCCTTTGTTGTTATTATTGTTCATCGCTTTCACTCTGTCAAATGATTTGATTTTAGTTTACTCTCTAAAGTGCCTTGAGATTACATGTGTTGTGAAGTGGTGCTATAAAAAAAATTAGAAATGTATTTAATGGAATATGTATCATTCAAACGTATTGGTGTAACAGCATGGGCCTCGAAAAGGTAGGGGTATATGTTTTTTGTATGATTAAATAGATGTACTGCTGCAAAATCTTCATTTTATTCCTGAAATTAAAATTATTTCAATCAATGAAATCTTTTATGCAATATATTCATTTGTATTGGGGGGGAAAAAGAATTATTCTGGGGGGAATTAAGCAAAAAAAGAAAAATGTTTTGACAAATGTAATGTGGTTGGTGCAGTATTTTTGCCATACTTCTGCATAAACAAGCTCTCAGCTGGTTTACATCATACCTGGAGTCTAAAATACACAGTAAACATTAAAGACAGGGTTTCAGCTCCCTGTGAATATAAATTGGGAATTTCCCAAGGCTCAATTCTGGGACTATTGTTTTTTGGTCTCTATTTAACTGAAGTCCCAAAGGTCTGTAGAGGAACTGAGCACCAACTGTATGATGAAGACACAGTCATCTATGTATCAGCAAAGACTCCAGATAAAGCTGCAGAGCTGTTGAACAGACACATGGTCAGCATTTTTTAGTGGCTCCAAGATACAGTTTGTCTTTTAAGTTTAAAAATGGTCTCCATGAGCGTTTCACTTTGACAGAAATCTGCAGAAAACTGTTCACATTCATAAACAAGTTGATAAAGTTGCAAATTTCGAATATTTGTACGTAGTTTTTGATACAAACCGATGTGATGAACATATAAACAAAACAAAAAAAAAAACTATAGCCCCATTTACACTACCCTCTGGAAACCGATCCGTGCAGAGTTCGGACCAAGCTTGGATCAGTTAACCGTGCCGAGCTCAGTTCCTTGCGACCGTTTACATGCCACGCTCGCACGGTTCCTCGTCTCCTAGTGATGATCTACGGTACTACTGCTCTACTAGAGGTAAACGAGCAAATCAATCATGCCGGCGCCCGTAACACTGAGGAGGTTTGGTTATAATTGTGATATTCAGTTGTTTGCAGACAGTCAGGCAATGAAGGCAGCGCTTGGTGAATTTATTTGACAGAGTTGGGTTTTGGGAAGTGGATACGACAAACGATAGTCTAATCAGGGCTTACAGACGCAGGAAACAACAACAGACATCCAAGTTCATCACACTTCTACAGCGTCAGTGTTCTGTTCTTAGCTGACAGGCTTGGCACCTGGTGTGGTCTTGTTTTGCTGTAGCCTATACGCATCATGGTTCAACATATTGAGCTTTCAAATAATCTTTTTGTTATAACAAATGGTTATTTAAGTTAATGTTGCCTTTCTATCAACTCGGACAAGGAGTCTGGGCATTTTCCTCTGGTATAAACAAGGCATTTGCCCCCACAGAGCTGCTACTAACTGGATATGGTTGTGCATGAAAATCCCAGGAGATTAGCAGTTTCTGAAATACTCCAACCTGCCCGTTTGGCACCAACGACAAGGCGCCATTCCAAGACACTTAAACCACCTTTCCGCATCATTCTGATGTTTGGTTTGAACTGCAGAAGATCGTCTTGACTAGGGTTGAAACAATCGGATTAATGCTGATTAATTGATTATTTAAATAACCTTAAACAAATTTAGAAATTAATTAACCCTTAACTGGAGTATAGAGACTGTAAAACATGTGTTTAGCTGACAGAGTGACCCTGGTAGAGCAGTAATTTTAAAAAGGATATGTAAACATTTTGCATTTAAGATTGTCAATAGATTTAAGATTTGCATTCTGTTTGTCAATATGCTCTATCCAAAACTCCTCCATTGGAAAAGTTTTAGTTTCACCTGGTTTAATTTCCCAAAAAGTCTTCTTTAAGGAACCTTTTTTTTTAATCTGATTATTAATCAATTAATGGAAAAAAATTATCAACAGATGAATTGATTTGCAAAGTATTCGTTAGTTGCAGCCTTAGTCTACTGTAGACCATGTCTAAAGGCATCGAGTTGCTGCCATGTGATTGGCTGATTAGAGATTTTCATTAATAGGAAAGGTGTACCTAATAAAGTAGCTGGTGAATGTATGTTTTTTTTTATGTTAGTATCTTGTTTCTTATATTTGTTTAATTATAGACTTGATCAATCAACATGGCATCAGTTGAATCAGTTGTTTATTTGTTCTGTCCCTGTTGAATAAACTTTACAACCAAGGAAACAACTGTCCTTTAAAAATACCATAATTCTCATAATCAATAGTTAACCTGCCCTGTGATGTCATCAGTGCCACATAAGATGGGACATCCAATTCAATTCAGTTCAGTTCATTTATATAGCACCAAGTCACAACACGTCATCTCAAGGCACTTTACAGTTCAACCAGATCATACAGTCAAATTGATACAAAGTTTTCTATCTAAGGAAAACCAGTTGATTGCATCGACTCAGATGCAATTCCTCACACTAAGCATGTTTGTAGTGACAGTGGAGAGGAAAAACTCCCTTTTAACAGGAAAAAAACCTCCAGCAGAACCAGGCTAATCCACATCTGGATCCTGAAGTTATTTAATTTTGGGCAAAACAAAAAAAAGCTAAATCAATTAAGCAACTGTTCACAATGTGTTGTTCTAGGTATCTTAACTACTGACTTTAAATTGTCAGAAGTTTTTACCAATCACTTGATGTTAATGACCTGACAACAAAGGGTTGCAAACTAAAATAAAGTCTGCAGTGATCCACTGTTTTGGCTGCAGATGTGGAACAGTCACCCTCACATTTTCCTGATTTAAAAAACTACTGAATATCAAACAGATGTGGATTTTAGGGAAGGGGGTTAGTTTATATCATGAGGTAAAACTCTTTAGGCTTGTTTTGGCCAAGACGGCAATTCTAACAATAAGATAAACAGCTAAGTATTAAAATAAGTAAAAGTTACTTCATTTTCTTATGCATCACAAAAGGAAGAACCTCCAGGAAACGCGGTTTGATGTGAATTACCAAATATTTACTACACGCGGAGTGTTTGAGACACGAAGCAACGCGCTGTCCAGCTGACACTTTCTGACCAACTTCTGAAAGCGCCTCTCTTTCTCTTCTAATAGAAATGAGGACAAAACAAACCCTGAACCGAAAGGCTCACCCGGTGAATCCTCTTCCACCCCCAACAGTTGAACACAATGCAGACGGCGGAGTGGACGCTGAGGTCTACGGTTGTCCTGCTGAGTCCATTCGCTCTCTGGAGAACCGATATGAGAAGAAAGATCCACCGAGCTGCTGAAATAAACCTATCAGCCCGGAAAGCGTTCGGGATTTACTCGTTCCCTCTATATATACTCCTTTTCCACATGTTTCTTTTTTTTTTCTTCTGCTGATAGGCTGCCTTTCATCCGTAAAGTCAGCCTCCAACCCCACCAAGAGGGAGCAGGCGCGGCTTGGAGAGAAAGGAAGTGGTGGTGCGTTTAAGGACAATCGGAAATACTGCTCACAATAGAAGGAACGTGGTTTAAAGCGGAGGTCTTCAACAGGGGGTCCGCGACCCCTAGGGGGTCCACAGAGGTGCTGCATGGGGGGGTCACTTTTTTTTTTTTTTATATCCCCCCCAGCATTTTTTTTCCACTAATTGAAATGTCTTTAAATACACATTACAAATGCCCCCTCCGTCCATCAGTGAGGTCTAGAAGCACAAGATCTATATTCCCCCATTCAGCAAAGATACTGCTACATGGCTGTACATCTTATTTTGGCATTTGACCAGTTAGATGAGCCCTTGAACGATATATTATCTACTGTAAATTAAGTTGCAGAAAAAAAGTTCAAGAAAATAAGGTAAACAGTTAATTATAAAGTTAAAAAATCAAGGAAAAAAGGTAAAAAGCTTATTCAAAAGGAAAAAAGTAAAGGAAAAAAGGTAAAAAGTTAATAAAACAGTTAAAAAGTCAAGGAAAAAATGTAAAAAGCTAATTAAAAAGTAAAAAAATCAAGGAAAAAATACACAAAGATAATAAAAAGTTAAAAAAAGGTAAAAAGCTGATTAAAAAGTTAAAAAAAAAGTAAAGTAAAAAATGTACAAAGATAATAAAAAAGCAAAAGGAAAAAAGGTAAAAAGTTAATAAAAAAGTTAAAAAGTCAAGGAAAAAATGTAAAAAGCTAATTAAAAAGTTAAAAAATCAAGGAAAAAATACACAAAGATAATAAAAAGTTAAAAAAAAGGTAAAAAGCTGATTAAAAAGTTAAAAAAAAAGTAAAGTAAAAAATGTACAAAGATAATAAAAAAGCAAAAAAAAAAAAGGTAAAAAGCTAACAGAAAAGTTAAAAAGTAAAGTTAAAAAGCACTTATTTTTGTTATTTTGCTTAATAAATTCGGGAAAGTTGCTGTTTGTTGTTATTACATTGACATTCAGTTTTGCCATCAAAATGTTCCAAAGGCAATAAGTTCTTGTCTTGGATTCCAATAACACTGTTGCCTTGAAATGTGGATTTTCAAAGGATTTCATTGAAAGGCCTATAAAGGGTTAACAGAGGTGTAGCACAACCTTTTTATAAGGGTGGCCAGGCAATAACCAGTGTATACTGAGGGGTAGCCAATAGTGGATAGGCACCAGAATCTACACTTTTCCAGCAGGAAAATTAACGAGCAAAAACATCCAGATTTTTCTAAATAAAGATAAACTATTATTTCCTACAGCCTTTCAAAACAAATACAATCATATATTTAGATATTTGTGCTTTCTAGATAAAAGGTATAGTGGATTAAATTGTTTCAGGTTTGAGTTCTGCAGCGAACATTATTTCTAATGTCATTATTTACCTACTATCAATAATCGTTCTGCATAAAAGTGATATTTACAAAAACTAATATCTACATACATTTTTTATTTATTAAGTTTTCACTAAAATAGTTATCTACGATTTCATTGAAGACTCCTAGATGACTTGCAGAAACAAATATTTTTTTCTTTACCCCATAAGACAAAATCTGGCTCTGAAAAGAGCATGAATTCTGTATTTTTCATCTTTATTGTTAGTATATTGATGTGCATAATTAACAACAGTGTTTTTGTTGTCAAGTAATTGTTAATATGTAAGGATTTTTAATATTTTGAATATTCCACTTCAGAGTACTACTACTGCCACCATCTGTTTTTGAGGGAAAAAATGGCCACGACCACCCCTGCCCCCCCATCTAGCTCCACACCTGGACATTAATATGAATTCAACACATTGTAGTAGACTGATAAATGGAGGCAGAAGATGTCTTTCAGTCATCAATGCACACATTCAGCGACACACAGGAGCTCTTTTAAGCTGGGCACCGTTTCATTCACAACACCTGTCCCATCAACCAGGAATCTGAATCAGAAATACTTTAATAATCTCAGGGTAAAATTACCTTCCTTACATTACTCCATATGTAATAGAGTAACTATAGGACCAGTTTGATACATTTTCATGCCATATATATAATTAGGGGGTCCCCGCTCCATCTCGCCATCAGTTAGGGGGTTCTTGGCCTGGAAAACGTTGAAGACTCCTGGTTTATAGACTTCAGTGCTTCACTGAAACGCCAATTTTGTTACTTCTGTCAATTATATGTATGCCCCACCCATTCTACTATTAGTTTCTATATTTCTGCCGTACTCTGACAGTCCTGCATGAATGCATACACTGGAGAGTGCCCTGGCTGATACTGGATGAGAGGTCAGTGTCAGCTGAATGTTTGGACTGCTTCCCATTCAATCACAGGACTAGCTCACATACACTCAAGAGACAATAGCTTTGAAAAAGCTAAAGTTTGACACGCCGAGTGAGAAAATGCAAACGAAAGCTTAAAGTTCAAACCTGAACTTGAACCTTGTGTGTCCAGTCTGGCCAGTGGCCTACACATAAATGAAAATATATTAGCTAGACATCCACAGCTTGATATTTCAGTTGATATAACATATTTTACAGGGTTTATGTGTAGATAACTATCAACAAGTAGCACTTAATTGCAAAACTGGATTACCAGATGTACTGGATTGGATCAAAGCATGTTCTGTCAGAAAGGACCAGTAAAAGTTCAGATATAAGTCAAACAGAAAATCTGGGAGAATGACTTAAAATAGCATTTCACAGATGTTTTCCATTCGGTCTGAGTTTGAGCAGTTTTGCAATAATGAAGGGAGACAAATGCAACTTTTAGAGGTGCAAGAGAAACGCTCCAAAAATATTTCAGTAAGTATATCAGTAAAAGGTGATTCAATAAAATATAACCCAAATGCATGGACACACATTAACAGCACACTTGTCTTGTGTTATATTGTTTTTTGTAAAATTTCCTTAACTTTGATTCTCCTCCAGCGCCATAGAAAAAGCCCTGCTTGTGTTGGTTTATCCAAAATTTAATCTTAAAATGTCTTTAATTTGACCCTGAAAACAGATATGCTTTATGTACCCTAAAGGAACAGGAACTCTGTTCTAAAGTCAAATATGGCTTATTTATACAGTAAAGCATTTAGTAATGTTCTCCTGCAGGTTTCCATCCTGCTTCCTACCTCAAGGATGTGGAGTTCCCTTTCCCTACATTTTGAAAAGAAAACATGGGTTTCCAGGGAGTTATTTAAAGAATCTCTGTATCCATTCAGTGAGATCAGAGTTGCATTGCCATCTGCTGGTGTAAAGACAGTCTGACCGAAAGAAGAATTGATGCCCTGTTTTAATTAGTCCCACTTTCGGGTTCCCAAATAAAATACTATATATCTACATATAAAAAAAAAAAAGTAGTAAAAAGGACCCTAGTGCAATTCCAAACCTACTCTGCAAAATGCATAGTGCTTAATGAGAGACCCTTATAATTAAAGAAAAACTTAAAGCCAGTTACATCATTTTTTCCACTTAGTTTTATTTTTCTATCCATGTTAGAATTACTATATTAATGCTAATACATAGGTTCTTTGCATTGAAATATGCTAGATTAAATCAAATCGGTTAAAACCTGTAAGGGTGGTGAGTACAAAAGGCTGCCTGGATGCCAGCCTTGTCATATTGAGGGATTAAAAAAAACAAAAGTCCAGTGAAATAAAAACTTGACAAAAAATTATTACAGTGAAAAAAAAGCAAAAGTCTTTGTACATATCAAAAGAAAATACAAGGAAAAAAACATGCCAATGCATCAAAACAAGTCGTCCCCAATCCTGATGTGGTTCTTGGTCAATCTGACAAACGGCTGCTCGTTTCCGCTCTTTTATTAGACAGCCAGTCAGACCTGAAGGTTTACGGTAGCACCAGTTGGCTCATTGTTAACTGTGAGGGAAAAAAAAGAAGTTTCAAGAGTCCAAGTGTAAAAATAACCCCAACAAAAATGACATTTCTGTCACAGTTAAATGTCTTCATGCCAGCCAAAAAAATAAAAATAAAAGCAAATAGTACGTTCATGGCACACAGCAGCTCTGACATTTCCTTTTAGTGGAGTGATGGTGAGACGCAGCTCTGTTTTGGCGCTCTATGAATTAAAGGGCAAACGAAACAAAGATTTCAGCAATATGTTGAGGAAAGATAAAATGAACACAAAGCAAAGCCCTGGATGTTAAGCTAATCACCGAAATAGCTTATTGTCTCAGTAGAGTGGAGAACCATGCTAAACCGCCCAGTCTAAATACACTGAATGAAAAAAAAATAATGTATTTCCCCTAAAATAACCTATTTTCAGATTTTAGCTACTTCCTGAACCGATGAAGCCATAAATATTAGCAGTGATCCCAACTCGTCCTGATTGGAAATAGTGGTCTTGCAGGACAGCAGCTTTCACAGCAGTTTTGCTTCTGTATACATTAGGAAAAAAGTACAATAAGTATATTCTAGCCCAGTTACATAAAGCAGGCAAGTATTTCATTTGATATATTAAGATCCAGAGATAGAATTTGTACAAAACTGTGATTAAAAAAAACAACAAAAAAACATGGAGTGATCATTTTCAAAAGCTCAGAATTTTGCCCACAGATTCTCTGAAAACATATTTATCAACAGGTGCATGAAGAATGGTGCCTTAAAGCAATAATGCATCAAACCAATAAGTTACTACTTTGAGCTGGAAAGGACAGACTCTCAAACAAGGAACCAAACCTTCCACTGCAGACCATCATCTTGCTTCAATAATTTATAATCAGGCTGTACCTTTTACAAGTTAACAGAGATGGTGCCAAGTTCAAATCTTCGTTATTTACACAAGCTTCATTAACGTAGTAAAACATTTGGCAAAACTGGCACAGATGGGTGAAGTGTTAGTTTGTCTTCTTCAGCTCCTCAGTGACAAACCATAATGTGCAAAACCAACGTGTTATGTTGGAAAGAAAATCTACACAGTACTAAGAGAGGAGATTGAAACATGATTTAGATGCAGAGTTGAGGTGGTTTAGACTGATCAGTCTGTAGAAAGGCCATTTTCTGGAATGCAGGTCTCTATTTAGAACCACAGATCATCTCTCATAAGGCAGGAAAAAAATATGACACTTGATTATTCTGAAATAACTGCATTAACTCCAATATTGTCCTTGCATGGGTCTCCTCTCCGCTTATATTTAAGAGCAAAGGAAAATGATTTATACTGAGGTGACGTTTCCAGTGAAAAAAGGATCGGCGTAATCCCGGGTGAAGTAAAGAACCAAATGGGGGAAGAAACGCCTCGACTAAGTGAGGCGAGTCACCATGAGGTCAGTTCAAGACAGACGCATCGATTCTCAGTTTAGCAACTCGCGCAGAAACAATAACTCAGGCCGACTTTAAAACAGTGGCTTTCTTCCCGGCTTCTTTCATTTCCAGCAGCTTTATAAATTGACTAGCTCGTGTGCAACAAACTGTTTCAGCCTCTCCAGGTACTGTCCGTAGAGCTCAACGTCGTTGTGTCCGGCCCCCTCTACCCAGAGAGGCTCCACCGGGCGCTGGCAGCGTTCATACAGCGCCAGGCCGTGAGAGAAGTCGATGACCTCATCCTCGGTACCATGGATCAACAGGACCGGAGACGTTACTTTGGAAATCTTGTCGATGCTTGGAGGCAAAAAAGGAGAAAGAAATTATACAGATTAGAAGAAATAAAGATCAGAATTCAATTCAAGTACAGAACAATTGAACAAGTCACACAGATAAACATTTTGTCACATTGCAATCACAGATTTCAGATTGTTTTTTAACTGATGTGACCAAAAAGGGAGATCATTGTGAAAGATAAGAATAATTCACCACAGTTAATCATGACGGGAACTTTTTCAGAGTTGATGGAGCTTAATAAAAGCAGTTCTGGAAAAAAAAAAAGCACCTATTTTTGGTTGATTTCACCTACCAGCATGACAACAACCCGAACCATGCAGCCCAGAAAGAAATTAGTATATTTTATCATTTTTAAATATTATATTTTAATATGGTTTAAAATGCAGACTTATTACTAATTGGCAAGACATGTCATAGCTTGACCTGTGATTGAAAACGTTTTTACAAATTACTAGGTCAGCGACGCAGAACACAAACATCTAAAATGTTTTTAAAAACAATAATAAATAACTGAATCCATATTCCCTCCACATGTGTTTCACATACAATCCAAACAAAGTAGTTCCAAAGGAAAAACACCAAAGAGAGCCGAATACATTTACCAGGCATTAAATCTTACCAACTGTCCACCAGGTGGAGCAGTTGGCAACATTTTTTTTACTCAAGCCAATCAAATGAAATTGAAATCAGTTTGTTGTCTTTACATCTATGAGGATGTCGGCATTCTTGAAGAGTAAAATCAGAGAGCCTTAGGGTGCACTCACTTCGGAAAGGCGTCAAAACAGTAGGTCTTCTTGGTGTCAGGGAAAGCCACTCTCATCCCAGAGGTAAGCGGGGAGTGCAGGATGACTGCGGCACTCTCGTAGCGAGAGGCGAGGTCCACAGAGGGCACTGTGCCAATGCTCTGACCGTAGATGATCACGCTCTCTGGACGGATGCCGTACCTTTAAAGATAAGAAAAACACGCAAAATAAAAACTTAAGATAACCATAAAGTCAGGTCAACACAATAAAGATATGTACAGTACAAATGCACTGCTATGAGCTGGTACTTGTGTCCTCATCAAGCAGACGTTGGCATGCCTCCAGCGAAGCTATTAGAGGCTGATTAACACACACAATAATAGTAACTAGTTTCACTAATGTGATTAATTTCTTTTCTTCTCCTGTTAAGCTTTGATCACAGTTTTTTTTCTACTTGGCAGTTTCTCCTCTTTTCCTCCGATACATTTGTTAAATTAGTTGTTTGCTCTGAATGCTTTAATTGATTTAATCACTCCTTTTGTGGGTTTATTTTGTCACTTCTATACAAGTGCTCTTTTAAAGCCGGCATAAAGCTGTGTGATGCAGTGCTGCTTCTACAATATCCCTGCAGTCTTGTGACTAAAGACAAAGAAAAAAAATGAGGTGACAGAAGAGGAAAGACACTGATCCTAGTTTGAGGGGAAGGCATAAAATGAGAGAGGAAGGAAAAATAAGATCAGGAGGAAGAGAAGACATTCCACAGCTGATTATGGCTAACGTGACCCAGTGTAGCAAGCAGTCAGCTGACGAGCTGGAACCTACTTTGGGAACACTGCATCACTGTCTCTATTGCTGCATGGCTGAATAACGCAAAGCAAACAGTAAAACGCAACCAGAACAAACCTGCCCTCCACCGTGTTATTAAATACTGGACCTCTAACATTACAGGCTCAACACTACAGCTGATACCACCCTGCCCCTATGATTCACAGTGATGGATACATAAAACAACGGGACAGATGACATGTTAAACTACTTTGTTTTCTGATGAAGCTAAGATTATAATCCATCAAACTGCAGTAATGTTTGCTTCCTGCTGCAAAAAGTAAACAACTGAAGCTCAAACAGAGGAACGCAGTCAGTGTGGCCTCCAGACAATCTTTAGCATGAATATACAAAGTGTTTACAGTCCATGTCAGGTGCTCATCAGGGTATAAATAGTGGAGCGAATACTGGCACAGCACCGTAAGAGTTACTGCAGTATGACGGCTGCTAAAGAACACCAACTGGGTTCGCTCACATCTTAGTTATTTGAAAAAAAAATGTCTTGAAGCTGATCCAATAAGAGTAAATAATAAAATCTTATATAAAATTCTCATTATTAGTAACTCCATGCTTCGAACTATATCAGATTTAAAAAAAAGCAGTAGAGTTTGTTTGAGTTTTGGTACAATCAAGCTGAAATCAACGCTGCTTTTTTTTCCTGCAAGTCCAAATTAACACAAAACCTTATAGAGAAATAAAATATCCATCACTGAGGAATCAATGGTAATCATACATTTCATTACAAACCTCTTCAGTGCAGCTTTTTTTTAAAGATTAGTTTTCTTAACAGAAGCTTTTACAATATATTCATGGCGTATAGCAAGATTTGCAAGTTGTATTTTATAAAACAAATTTACTGTGAGATAGATGGATAGATGGATAGATAGAGTCTTACAAACAAACCATACAAGGATGATTTTTTTTTTTTGTTTTTTTTTTTAGTTCAGCTTTTAGTAAAACCAGACATGATGCAGCCTAAACCTTGCCACATAAAAATAGTCTGAATAGCAACATGCTACAACCAAATATGTAAAATCAACAAAGCGGACAAAGCAGAACAGACAGTCACTGTCTGGAAAGACGGAGGACGTTAGAAGGACAGCATTTTCCAGCCACCTTTTGTTTACATCTTCACATTTACCGACCAATGTCATTATCAGAGGCAGAGGAGCAGGCCGGGGAGTTTCACTTGACAACAGAGACACAAACGCTGAATATGGCAAGGCTTGAACCTGTGGACTTCCCCTTTCATCACTCTATCTTGTATTGTGTTCAAACATTCAGGGAGCGGCGCACGAGGACTGTAATCACAGACATGCTGGTGCAGTTCACAATTTACTTTCGAATTTCAGCTTCAATCGTTCTTCAAAGGCGAAAGTCAGTGATTCTTCCCTCCCCCAAACCTTCATCGATTCAGTCTCCTGACACAAATCCAATCCTTTACGCATCCCATCCTCCCTCATCCCACTCTTCTACATCACGCTGCTTTTTTGACTGCCCACCTCGTGCTCCCTCAAGACTAAAAATACTTTTAACTTCTTAGCAGTGCTGATCTATGACTAATATACATTGTAAGTCTTGAACATATGTCGCCTACCCCATTTTTTTGTTAAAACAGATTTAGAAACGCCATCTGTGACACTGCAGGGGGATCATCAGGGAAATGCTTGATGAACTGAAACCTTTCAACTCAGAAGGTTAGGAAATTCCTTATTAAAAATAATTTAGTAAACTGGTGCTATCCTTGAAGAAATGTTAGAATCAAAGTACAAAACGATGGAGTAATAGACTTTTATTGCACAATTCTGTGTTTAGCCAGGTGAGCAACTGGACTCCACCCAAGAGATTGGTACAGGCGTCATTATCTCGATGACTAATTTTGTTTTTCCAGGTCGGAAAGGTAAACAAATACTAGCTTGGGATTTTGCAAGAGAAGGTCTGAAAATTCCTCCACAGCATTTCGAACGCCTGAAGAGATGGATAGGATCCATTTCCACTACGATCAATAGACTTATTGATCAGGAAACAAGATTCCCTCATTTGTTTTTACAGGCCTCAGTAGAGAAGGAAGGTTTGGTCTGAAAGCTCTTTGCAAATCTGTTGCCAGGTTACCGCTCAATATTAGACAAGCAGGAACGACTGCTGATCTGCTTCTTCCACACAGAAAAAAGACAAGGTTATACAGAGCTATTTGGAAACAAGACTCAGAAAAATCACTGATTTACTCTTTAAGAGACAAAGGGAAACCTAAGTTTTTAAACCGAATAAGAAAAAAAAAAACTTTGCTGTGGAATGAAAATTAAAAACCTTTGGCCATCTATATTTTTTCAAGCTCAGTTTTACAATCTTTTTATTCTGAAAGGAAAATAAGAGAATTGAATGTCGTGATTTGTAGAGATATAAAAAAAAAAACGACGTGAACGATAAAGTGTGAAAGTACAAGGAAAACCCTCCTCAACTAAATTCCCATTTTCACTGCTAGTAGCAGGAAGCTGGCTGATCCTTCTGACGAGTAACCAGCCGTATGACGAGGCAGGCCTGCTGACTCACACAGGGAGGATATCTCCTGCTCAGGTGAAGGGAGTGCCTCATTTTGCACGGCTGAACTACAGGCAGGTCGTTTGTTTCCTCGCCTCTGGCTCTGCTGAGCTGATGAAACGTAAGTTGACAGGTGGTTGTTTCGGTCATAAGGCTTATTTCGTATGGCTCTACAAAGAGCAGGAAAGATCAATGTGAAGAAAAAGAGAAAACACCTGTGAGGGATGCAGGTAATGACGCTGACAGAGCTCTGATAGAACAAACAGAAACTACTGGGTCTATCCTAAGTTCTGGACATCTCAGTAAAAAACATGTTCAGCACAAGGACTTATCCAAATAGTCCAAAAACAATACATATTTCAGTTTCAGAATTTTGAATTGGGAATTTAAGATGAGCTAAATAAACTGAATATAAATCAAGAAGAAGGGATGTAGTTTTAAACTCACAGTTTTTCATTACTTTAATTACAATTATATAGAGTGTTCTATCTAGGGCTGCAACAAACGATTAATTTGCAAATCGATTAATCTGTTGATTATTTTTTACATTAATCAAATTAATTGTCGAGTAGCCAAAGGTTCCTTAAAGAAGAATTTTTCAAATATAAACCCGGTGAAACTAAAATGTTTCCACTTGAGGAGTTCTGGATAGAGCATATTGACAGATGAAAACATTTTAAAAAAATCTTAAATGCAAAATGTTTTTTTATTATTATATATATATATATTTTTTTTTTGGTAGAATTACTGCTCTAAATGGGCCACTCTGTCAGCTAAAGGCATGTAGTTTCTATACTCCAGTTAACAATTAATCGATTACTAAATTAGTTGACGAAAAAATTATTAGCAACACGGATAATTGCAGCATTGAAAGGATTGCCAAGCAAAATTCATTAATAAATTTGGGGAGTTTTATAAAGGAGGGTTGAATAAGTGAATTAAGACGGATCAGTGAATTAAGGCGGAGCAGTGAACTAAGGCGGTCTATGCAGACAGATCCTACAAGAAGGATGGAAATGCTGCATCCCTTGTTTACAGAGACAGCGTCAGAAATGTCTGAACCTGGGCCAAGTGGACTTTTCTCAATGATTCAAGGTCTGATTTTTGGATGAAAATAAAAAAGGCCAATACACAAAATAAAGAACATGTTTAACTCCAGTGAAGTTTCAACCGTTGGTGAGGATTTGGAGCACCATGTCATCTGCCGATGTGTTTAAGCACTTTAATTCCACACTGATATTTTAGATATATCTGTAAGTTTGTCAATTTATATTGATTTTAGTGAGGTAGAACAACAAACTTTTGGAAAAACCTATATAAAAAGTTTTTTTTTTTTTTTTTTTTTTTTTTATTGCCATGAAATTCATCAGGACCGACTGGTTCAGAGTAAATTGGTTCCTCTAAGCTACAAACACAGCAGCCCTTCTTTGATGCTTTTAACACAGCGGGGGTGTTCCCACCAAACCGGTTCTATTGGTAAACTGGTCTAGAGCTCGTCTAATTATGTTTGCAGCTGTGCACATTTTCAGACCAAACATATGATAACAATGAAGAAATAAAAGCAAAGAACACCCAGTTACTAGTTACTGTCCAGTTTATCCTGCTGGTCCCTGCGGAGATTAGCTGGCCTTGATGGAGAAATGCCCACAATGACTGCTCAACGTTTAAAACTGTAAATGTCAATTTACAGGGATAGTGAGGTGGGTCTATTTTACCGCATAAGCTGTTTATAGTCGTGCTGACAGTTAACATCAGCCCTGGTTAGGCCCTGGAACCAAAACAATAGAATAAAACGCACAACTGTGAGCCATATCTATTCAAACATGGAGAGACACGCA